TTGAAATCTAGTTGGGGAGAGGAACCCAGACAAACAGATAACTTGAATATAATAATGAGCAAGTTAGTGCATTACGCCGAGTCTGTGGTAGTGCTAGGTAATGGCTACTAGGCCAGGGAAATGTATACTTGCTTTGAGGTTCAAATAAGCTAATGTATATGACTTGTAAATCGTTTACAAATATGTCATTATTGTGACTTACATTCTGGCCATGTTAGATTTGAAGTAGACAACCTTGACATGTGACACTTGGGATGATAATATTTTAATGTATTTTCACAAGTAACTAGTACAACACTACAGTGCTCTCAGTATGAATCAGGAGATGTGTTTATCAGTAATTAAGTAATAACTTATTCATTCGTTCAACAAATATTTATTGAGAAGCCCGTATGGGTCTTGGGGTATATAAAACATAGGATTTGGTTGCATCCAAAGAGACTTGCAGTCATGTGGGGAAAATAAAACCAACACATAAGGTATGGTGGATGCTTCTTTGTACTGAAGTCATGCCCAGTATCTTGGGTTTGAAGGTATTGGTCCATTTGTTCACTAACTGGACAGATAAAACAATAATTGCTTATATATCTATAGCATTCTACTGCTGCAAAAGTGCTTTTGTTACGTACATAATTCTTTCACTCCTAACAAATCTGCAAAGTGGGTAACCTCTCTGCTTCATATATTAACACACTGAAGTTCAGAAGTGTCAGCACCTTATACAAAGTACTAACGAAGGCATGGAGCCTAGGCTTTGTGCTCCCCTACATCACCAGCAGCTCTGAGTTTACCGAGTGAACCTGGGAGTTGGACTGGGCTGGTCTTGGTGTGTAGGAGGTAGACCCAGTGAACTAGCACACACGCCCTGAAAGGGCGTTGGGTGAGCATCTGCTGGAAAGACCCATCAGTGAATGAATGAGGCGCCTGTTGGTGAGCTAGGTCATCATAATTTTGATAGACCAGAGCAAATGTGCTACACCATTTTCCCGAGGCCTTCGCTCATATGCTGAAGCGGGCCTTGGGTAGACTGTGATCCGCAAGGGAAAGGCACAAAAGTCCTGGGGAAACACGTGCC